ATGATTTGAATCTTGGGTGGCATGTGTAAAATGCTCCTTCTTAATCTATGCATCACCCTTAAATTGTATAAATGAGACCATTGACTCCTCGATGTCGCTATCATCATCGGTTGAGACACTAACGTCATCTTTTTCTATCTCTAGATCGAGCGGGTTGTTGAATGTGTTTGAAAAGGTGTCTTGTCTCCTAAATTATTTTCAACGATATGGCTAATGCCATTGTCTTTCACTTTACCTTTGTCTTTGCACGCTGGGCGAACGATTGTGGTGGAGGAAAATGTGTTTTTTATTCAAACAGTCAAATTGATCATTTGAAATAGGACAATCTAAGCCTTTGATTACGAACGATCAGATTTCAATCGTTATTAATCGGTACAAATCTCATGTCGCCTGATACGGAGTCATACAATGAGTATCACTCAGCAAAGGATGGTTCATATACTAATCCCATGTTGAATCGGTACATATTATTCGTGTTGAGCGATACAATTCGGTACGATGAACCCTGTGCTAAATAAATAAAAAATTATAATCTATCATGTAAGAAGTTTTTTATTTTTTATTTTTCTAATTTTTGTCCCTATGAGTAGCAAGAAAGAACATGATTACAAAGTGCATGCTGTTAAGTTCAGTCATTCTTTTCTGTTGATTTATTTTGTATTTTTGATTATTATAAATCATCACAACATGATTCATTGCATCATATCTAGTTACTCTTAGATGGAAAACATCAATGTGCATTTAATACTTATCGCATGGGACCATCTCAATCATCTCATCGGGGCCATTATAAGATAGTGGTGCGATGCAGGTTCTATAATAACAAGGATAGACATAAATACCATTCTAAAGTTAAAAGGTAAAAGAGGATGAACAAAGGTGACCCACCGTATCTTTGTAGATTTGGGTAGGACACCATGTCACCCGTGTTCTCCTACAAGGCTAGCGTGGTGGTAGCACGTTGCATGAACCCAACAGATTACTTAGGTATCCTCAGCAGATTCCGTCTCAAAGCTTACCTTTCATTGATAGATCTTCATTAGATTCTGATGGAACAAACGTAATCTCACCCTTGGAAATCATCATAAATTAATGATCCATATTGGATATGGTGCATACCCAATCCCTTTCTCTTCCATTCTTCATTCCCTTCATCTCTCTCACTCTCCGCATGGACAACTTCGCTCACCAACTTGAGCTTCTCCTAAATGAGAATACCTCCGATGATACACACTTCTCATCCGAGCTTGACGCCGAAGAAGACCAATGCAGTTCACTTGTTAATCCTACCTTTTCTGTACATATTGAGCCTCTCTCTTCTGCGCCTACCGTCGAGCCCATCCATGGAGACGACGACACTGTGACGAAACAGGCGCCAGCTTCTTCCTCATCATTAGATTCCAAACCAGCCATGATCCATCAAGCAAATGTCCCTTCCTCGTCATCAGACTCCAAACTAGCGATGATCTATCAGCCAAATGTCCCTCCCACGTCCTTCCAACATTTCTTCGATGAGTTCCATCTGGCTTTCATGGTAGCTCCATTTGTATCAGATGCTTCGGCCTACATCAACCAAGTCGGTTTTGGCTTCCCAACCTCAAATATCGTGGCAGACATGACCGCAGAGAACATGCAGACTGCTCCACCAATGGAATACATCGAGTTGCATACCCAGGCTCCTAAGATAGATCACCAACCCCTTCATGCTGAATCATACCACAATCTAGCTTACTTGAACCCCACCGGAGATCCTCTAGATCCCAACTGGGAGGCCATCGAATCGTATCTAGCTGGACATGTCCGACGTGGCCTCGATGTCTCTCGCGTCTATAAATGCAACATATGCAACTCGGAGTTCCCCTGCGCACAAGCTTTTGGAGGACACATGAGCTCCCATAGCAAGAACAAGAGAGGAGAGAAACCCCTGGCGAAGAGAAAACGACGCATGTTGAAGAAGGTACGCTTAAACAAGAGACTCTCTTCTGCTTCCATGAAGGAAAAGGCCGGTGTTTTCTCGAAGGAGGCGAGTTCAATCGACGAGGCCAACATGGCCATGAATGGTGCGAGTGAGGAACCCAACTACGTTGAGTTTTCTGATGATGAATATACTACTAATTCACATGAGAGCTATAGGCCTCGCTAGAGAAGCTTCGTTCGTTCAGTTCTGTCGAGGTTCTCCATCTTCTAGAGTTTAAGTTCAAGTCGACGATACTGTCTTACCGAGCAGTGTCGTGGCCATTTTGTGTTTTCATCATTGAAATCGTTCACCTTTTTCTTTCCTAGTGTTTGATCTGTCACAATAACTGTGTTTGAGTGCTCGATCCTTTTTCTATCTTCTTGTGATGGACAAAAGGATCAAAGAGCACAAGTGCAAGACCAATGATACTGCTGAGGAGCTTAGTTTGCAGCTAAATATACCCAAAACAAAAGGAATCAGAAATAGATATCCATTACATCCACAGCAAATAGGAAACAAAAGGGGGACATTAGAATACACTACTGATCATTATAATCATATGTTGAATATGAAGTTTAGGTCTGGAGAACTGATTACCATTATGAGAAAGCCATAATTTTTCTGTATCAGTTATCTCAATTATATCACTAATAACATATAAGTTTGCAGTCAAAGTAATGAAATTTGACTAAGCATAAGATGACAATGCTTGACTTAATTAGGACCATCGAGTTGTTAGTGCTAAATATTATACAGACACTTCATTTCAAATCATGTTCTTTTAAAATCACAACACTATTCACCATCTCAAGCATCTCATTGGGGTCATTGCAAGATAATGGTGGGAGGCAGGTCCTACAACAAGGAGGACGAGGAAAAATACCATCCTAAAGTTAAAAGGGAAAAGAGGATGAACAAAGGTGATGCATTGTAAGTTGCATGAACCCAACAAATTTTAGACTGTATTTTCAATGAGAAATATTAATGAAAGAGATTGCTAGGGTAATCCTTACAAGATAATCTCCCAAAGCTTACCTTTCATTGTTCTCATGGAATTAACATAAAAATCATTTTAGGAAATACAAAGACTGAAAATTGTTACAAACATTGAATACTTAGAATCTTAGCTTCCTGTCAAGTTCTTTTGGATGATGAATTTCCAAGTAATCATAAATTCATATATGATATAATACCTTATCAATTCCTTCTCCCTCTTCCACTCTTCACCTCCCTTCCCTCTCTGCATGAATGACTTTGTTCACGAACTTGAGCTTTTCCTAAACGAGAGAGCAGCATCGATGATGCAAAAGAAGACCCTCTCTCTTATGTTCCTATTGTTGAGCCCAAGTTTCTTTTTTGTGGCTCAACTCCTGAGATGGATCACCAAAGCCCTTCATGCCCTCTTTGACCATTGAACACCAGCTGGGATGAGCTAAATGGGTGAGCTCGGTGGCTGGCATGGAAACGGGTCTTCTTAAGCGTCAGCTAGGGGTTGCTTCGATGAGACATACATATCATCGGAGCTTCTCCTAAAGGAGAGAGAAGGGGGAATGAATGGATGGGGGAGGGGAGGAATTGGTTATGTGATATCTCCCATATGAGATTATGTTTAATTCTTGTTATAATTCTTACTATGAGATTATGTTTATTGCATGAAATTACAATGAAGATCGGAAAGTGCAAGGTAAGGTAACTTACTGCTTTCACTTGCCCTCGCAAGAGAACATGGGTGATGTGAAGTCTTATCCGAATCTAAAACGATACAATGGGTCGCTTTGTTCATCCCCTTTTACCTGTAACTTTGGTATTTATGCTTGTCCTTGTTGTTGTTGACCTTCCTCCAACCATTGTCTTATAATGACCCCGATAAGATGCTTAAGATCGTTGAATGCCGTAAATATTGAGTACACACATTGGTAGGAAAGAGCATGAAGATCTTTATGATCCATCTGAAGTGCCAACCCATCTTTATGATCCATTTGATGGAGCAGTTTGCATGTTCTTCGTAGTCATGCCTGTAAGAGATTTGAAGTGACGTGGTCGATGTATGCGAAAGCATGGTTTGCTTTTGATGTTAATGGAACTATCCAGTATTTTCAAAAGACATTCGGGTACTCGCGTAGGTGCTCGAGCGAGATGAAGCAAGACCTAAATGCTTTACATTACCTTGGGCGAGGCGTTTTGACGAAGCCTTTGTTTCGAACGAAATTACAGGTGTTTCAATGAAGCCTAGGCGTTTCGTTGAAATTACGGATGCTCGCTTGAGCCTAAGTCTCGTACACTTTGGGTGAGTGCTTGAGTGAAGTTAGGTCAGTATTCGAGCCTAGTTATTTTGAATAAGCAAGTTGGTTCAATCAAACCAACTAATGTTACCTTAACATAAAATGTGCACCGCTCCACGACCAAGCCAGTGAAACAAACCCAAAGTGAAACCCTATGCCTATTGCCATCGTCTTCATTCGCAATTTCATTTGTCATTATCGCCGTCTTCATCTATACTAGTTAGAAACCTCTTTAGCATAGATCTCCATCAGATGTATTTTCTTGATCATATTCTAACTCTCTTATGAGTTAGAACTTACGAGTTTTAAGTTCAGTTACGTAGAAATCTCACATTGATATGAAAACACTACTAAGATGTTAACACCCAATTCAAATTTTATCTTCTTTTGAAAACACTACTAAAACATAACTATATATATATTGGAAGTCAGTGATATAAGTACCAATCGATCAATATACACGTACATATAAAAATGAGTGATATAAGATTGTTTAAATCTATATCATTCACGAATCTTAAGGCGGTTCACGAGATATCATTTAAAATTCAAAAAAATGATCAGTGTGGTTTTATCTTACAAATAAAAACTGTTCTTATAACTTTGATTCGGTCTTTTTTTTATTTCATCAAAACTGACTCCTTTTAAGCTGTCATTTTATTAAGCGTTCATCCATTTTCATCAACAATCTCAATGCGGCGCTCGGAGGAATGGAGGGTAGTGATGAGAGATCGGGACGAGTTGGAGAGGATACCGAATTCGTTCTTCCGTTCTCCATCGTCGCACATCGACGAAGCTGGCGTCGGTGATTGGGGTGAGCGAGTGGGAGTGAGAGAGAGAGAGAGAGAGAGATCAGTGAGAGCGGTACGAAGCGATCCGACCCTTCGCCTTGGCGCTCTCCCCCGCCCTTTGTGGCTGGACGATGGAGTACAGAAGAATCAAGGATCAGGTAACTCTCGCGTGCTTCTCCGATCGGGTTTCGGATGCGAATCTGGCATCGATTTCGCTGGATCTCCTCGGAACCATACGAAAGCTTACGAAAGAAGGGTTCCTGAGACCCTCTTCTCTGAGATTCTGGATCTGTTCGCGGAATTAGATGTCTTCTCTGGAAGGAACTACTCCAAGAATGCATTAACCACCCCTTTCCTAGGTCTTTCCTTCATTGCCGTTCGGGATATGTGCTTGCATTTTCCCTATATTTATCCTTTGACCGGAGATCTAAAAGGGTTTCGTGGCTGCTTGCGTTTTGAGAATTTCTCTCTCTTTTATCGGTTAAATTTGCTTCTCTATCTGAAATTCCTCTAGTCGATGTCTGTAGTTAGTCCACTATTGCTTCTTCTTTCTCTTGAATGCAACAGGATAAATAGTTTGGAATTTACAGGAAAATTATGGTGAGAAATCGCAAACTGATGTGGAGAATCAACATGGGAAGCCTTTTTCTGTTGGTACACTTCTGTCATGTTCAGGCTAATATCCTGATTTAGCGGTGAATGAATTCCTTCTGCTGACCATTGTAAATGGTATTATATTATAGGTGCTGCTGATAGCGTGCCTAGCTCCGGAGTTAGCTCGACCAACAAATCCAATTGGAAGCTCAAGTAACAATTCTTCAGAAAATGTTTGAGATTACATGCTCTGGTTTGTAGTATAAACATCTTACTCCACATTGTCTGTATTTTAAGGTCGGTCGTCACTATCGCTTTGACATTACTTACAAGCTCACAAGCAATACTCATTGTGTGGTCCAAAAGAGCTGGGAAATATGATTACAGTGTAACAACAGCCAACTTCTCGGTTAGTGTCCATTTGCTGCAATCAGTTCTAAGTGCACATTTCGGTTGGATATTCATTTCATACAATGAGAAAGAACTGGCAGCTCCTGTGTCATCATATATACCTTACTTTTTAACTTGCTAGGTGGAGGCTTTAAAATGCACACTGTCACTTGCAGCACTGGTTAGAATATGGAAAAGTCATGGTGTTACAGCGGATAATACGTAAGCTTTGGTCTACTATTACATCCTGTTTATGGTGTTACTCCACAGGAACAGCGATTATCTTTCTTATTTAGGGATGAATATTTTAGTTGTTGTTAAAAAGGTTTGTAGGAAGTCTTATTCCATTTCAAGATTGACCTGCTTTTATTGACTGATTGTACCCCTTGACAAACTTGCATCTGCCATCTGAACATCAGGATGTGATTGCTGCTATTTTTATATTTTACACCCCTAAATCATTTATATTGACCCCCATAATGAGAAAGGATTCAGAGAACATGTGCTTTGATGATATATATGTGGGTTATTCCATTTTACCATTCAGGAACATCACAAGGCTATCTTATGCTATGAACAGAACTCCGTATCTTGTTTATTCTCATGTTACACTATTTGCAGTAATTAGCAGCATTAAGAGCTGTCTTTGAGGGTATAGAGGTGACTCAGCATCTGTCCAAGCATGTTTTAATTGAACACTGTTACACTAACCCACACATTTCATGTAAAATAATCGCATGAAACACTTGGAAGTGCTTTGAGGTTTCATCTGATATCCAAGCTATAATTGGTCTATTCATTTATGTGGTTGTCATTGTAATTAAGATGTATTTAGCAATAGCAAGTTTCTTTTGATCATATCCCACCTTTGCCATTACCCTTTGCAAAAGAAAAAAAAAAAGTTCTTTGATCATATGCTCAACCACAAAATATGGTTTATATCATACTTTTGTAATTTAAACAACAGTTAAACGCAAACATATTATTATAAAGCTGTTTTTTTATCTGAGACATATTTATATTGATATGTTGGTCAGAATTTTAACATTTTATACATTCTTCAGATATAATTGTCTTGATCAGAATAACATTGATTTTCACTACTGTAATTGGTTGAGAATTTAAATTGATTTTACTCTGTACATCGACTAATTGCTCTATTGATCTTATGATATTAGGTTAAGTACATCTTTTGAAGAAGTTAATGTTTATCCTATCCCTGCAATACTCTACCTTATTAAGAATTTACTACAGGTACAGAAATTCTTAGTTTCTCATTATATATTATTCTGCTTATAGAACATAATGTGTGAGTAATATTGTGTTGAAACCAGTATTACATCTTCGCATATGTGGATGCCCCTGCGTACCAGATATTGAAGAACCTGAATATCATCAGCACTGGTGTATTGTATCGCATCATTCTAAAGAAGAAGTAAGAACTTTGTTTAGCAGAAACTTAACTGTTTAAACATCTGTTGAATGATTTGCGTTGATGAGTTTTTGGAACCTAGTGTAAAACCATTTAGTATGTTTGCAGATGTTGCTCATCATTATTTATGATTGCATCTTTTTTTGCCTTTGCTGATCTTATGTAATTATCTTATTTCCTCTATGGAAGTTCTTTTTATGTTAGTTTAGTTTGCTTTTATCTGATGCATTTACTGGTATATCCCCCTTGGAGTGGTTATTGCTAATTCCTTAATAGAGATCTTTTGAGAATGGTTCTTCATAAACAACCCTGTTTTCTGATGGAGACTTCATTACATTGTCATTCTCAATATTTAAACTCAAATATCTTACTAGTTACTAGTTTCCTTGAAATGTCTTAGTCGGATAATTATTGTTGTATCAATACACTTCAAGTTCCTTAAAGTATTAGAAGCTTAAAATATAATAGATTATATAAATTTTGGTTTTTTGTCATGAGAAAACTGCTATGATGAATGCTCGTTCTATTCCATCTACACCAAGTAGCATTTTTTTCTCTTTTATTTAATTTTACATTAGTATGAAGGTTTCACTTTTAGAAGGGAAACTTTAGTGTAATTCTTTTTAGCTAGACTCTAGGAAACTGGTTATGCTTGACATCTGCCACGGATATGTTGAAGTTAATTCTCCATGTATCTCCCGTTCTGCTTTCATTTGTTTTTGTTTAAAGTTTAATGATACTTATCTTCTTTCTGCATAGTTGCTAAATGTGTATTCCCAGAGTTTACAGATGGGGAACATCTCTGTGGATAGGAAAAACTTGGTGAACCACTATGTTATGTTATCCCATTTTTACTTTATCAGCTATTTCTTAGCATTGCAGAAGGCTTGAGATGTTCTAATTTCACCTAGGCCAATGCTTTGAGATATCTTAGTTCACAAAGCCAATACCTGGAAATATCGTATTTCCACATTATCCTGTGAGATTATAATCGTTGGGGTTTGAGCAGAGACTGTTGCATACCCAATTTTAGTTGGGACCTCCATTTTGGGTGGCTAATGGGGGACATGAATACCACTATTCTATTCCTCCCCAACACCCCAGCCAGACAATTTCATGTAACAGAAGCTCAGTGTTTGCTAACTTTGGTCACTCTTGATTCTTTGTTACAGGTTAAGTGAAATTCAGTGGGCAGCTTTTATTCTCTTATGTGCAGGATGCACGACAGCACAACTAAACTCTACGTAAGCATAATAAACTTGTCGAATCACATAGTCTATGTCGCCTTATTGATATATATTATATAGTTTTGATTTTTTTACCTTTAATTATTCTATTCTGTCAACATGTTTTTCTTGATAATTTTATGTTTCTTGATTTGTATTTTCAATTCTATCATTCATGCAGTTCTGATCGTGTTCTTCAAACTCCATTTCAAGGTTGGGTAATGGCTATTGTGAGTCTCGAACCTGACCAAACTATGTCTAATTTGGTTTCCGTAATGAAGACTTAACTTTCTGATTTGACTGAACTTATGAAATGTGCTTTCCAGGTCATGGCACTTTTAAGTGGCTTTGCTGGGGTGTACACAGAGGTACCTTCTATGTGTGTGATAAACCAAGAATATGTTTCTGCTTCCCTGCTTTTTTTGTTTCTGCTACATCACAAAAGATGTGTCCTGTCAATATCTGAGAGCCATTATTATTTTATGATGAGTAATAATGTTTCTCTCTCTATCAAATTGCAGGCTATTATCAAGAAGCGTCCTTCGAGAAATATTAATGTGCAGAACTTCTGGTTGTACGTCTTTGGAATGATTTTTAATCTAGTTGCAATCTGCATTCAGGACTATGATGAAGTCATGAACAAGTAAAATTTAGAAGCATTTATGTCTAATTCCTTTCTTGGATCCCACTATTGATCTCCCAAAACTAGACCCATTGTCTTGGACTTGACGGAACTTATTTTTAATGCAGAGGTTTCTTTCATGGATATTCCTTTATCACAGTCTGCATGGTTCTTAATCATGCACTCAGGTATGATATGCTCCAAGTATAGTTCGATATTTTCTCTTTCTTGCACTTCTTTGAATTTTGATGCTTTCTTTACAGTGGTATTGCTGTTTCAATGGTGATGAAATATGCTGATAACATCGTGAAGGTAACAACACCTGGACCTTTCTTTCCGTAATGAATAAAAAATTAAATGCTTTAGGCTTGTAGTGATTTACACTTGCACGATACACACTCTTTTCACACAATTGATTCATGATTTTGTCATCTATCAAATAAATTGGTGGACCAGTTTTACCTCCCATACTAAGTGGCATCCACTTCATCACATAAGACTACAATTGGCATTATCTGCGAGAGAAAGCCCTACACATTTTAACAAAATGAGTGTTTTAATATGCTGTCGGTCAGTTGCTAGTGATCCAAAGCATAATCTCGGACTTCTCTATTCTCTAATCTTTCATTGGTGATGTATCTTGTTGTGAGAAAAAAAATTGCCAAGTGCAGAAAATTTAGGTTTCTTTGAGTGAAATTTTTCTGAAGAACATTAGCTTAAAGCATATTATACTTGAAATTTTTTGACTGATAGAGGTGATCTGGCTTCATCACCCTATTGGGATTAATCATTAAGGTGAACAAGTGAAAACAGTGTCATCAATGCAAGAGGTTATAGACCCCAAATGATCTATCAATTTGAATTGCATTTTAAATAGGTAAACAGTATCCAATATTTTAAAATCTAAAGCATCCACCAGATGTAGTGATTAGTGAAAGCTGAACACCAATTAGCAAATTGTGCCGATGTTCTTAAAAGTTAGATACGTTGTTCTCCCTGACTATTGAGTTGCCCACTATGACAGGTGTATTCAACTTCAGTGGCAATGCTTCTAACAGCGGTTTTATCGGTGTTTCTTTTTAGCTTCCATCTATCGCTCGCCTTCTTTCTCGGGTCCACGTAAGTATCGAAGTCGCATCTTACTCTTTATGAAATTCTCTATATTTGTTATCATGATTTATGTAAATCAATGTGATCCAAAAACATTAAAGGCAACTTGTTTCTACCTTCGTGTTCAAACTGTCTGTTGAGGACCGAAACCTGTGTCCACTCATAATATGAATCGAAATTAACTGATTGTATGCTTTCAGGGTCGTTTCTGTCTCTGTGTACTTGCACTCGATTGGGAAACCGCAACCACAAAAATGAGTTGTTCTTGGTTTGGAGCTCAGAAGTCAACCAGAATAGATTGCCTCATCCCACACATTTTTGTTCCATCAAACACAACCATACATACGTCTTTCTGGATGCCTCATTCTAGTGAAAACACCTACAATCATCTTGATCAACTCTGCACCTGAAGTTTGAATTGGCTACAGAGGGGTATTAAGGAAGACTTCTTGCTCCAAGTCTTGGAAGTGAAGATTGCTGATGCAGTAGGGTCACTTGATATTGTACTCGGGACATCTTGATCTACAACCGATGTATTTTTTTTGCAGGTAACAAAGACATGTTATGCCTCCAAGATTGTTAACAGAGTGCTTATATAGCCCTGTATATGGATTTATGGTACGCTATGCGGTGTGCAAAATGTCAGGATGAATCAGCTGCTATTTTATTTGGCATGTCTCTTTGCCCCCACATGGTTTTTATTTGTGGGAGGACAATATCAGTGGAATAGAACTCACTGGGCCGTCTATACACCGTGAAATCACATTGCTCCTGTGACTCATTGATCTATCGATGGCTAATTCTTCTCCGTTGTTGGTTGCTCCGACGAGTGCCGGAGCTCCCGCGACAAAGCCAATCGAACTCTTCGAGTCCTGATGTATATAATCACGGCAAGCTTTCCTACGCAAGCTTCGAGGAGACTCCCAAGTCTACGAGGCCAAGTCGAAGCACTTTGACGAGACTAAATAGGAAGAGCAACGATTTCGCCGACAAGAAGGTGTGATTTGTTCTGCGGCCGAGGATGATCTCGATGTGGCCACCGTCAGAGGGTGCGAGGAGGTGCGGGAGGACACCGACGAGAGCCCGTCGAAGAGCACCAATCGGTGAACGTGGCCATTGAAATCGCCAGCTCAAACTTGGAGTCCTTTGGCGGGGTGAGTCTTCTACCTGCGTCAGATATCATTCAATAAGGTAAAAGATAACGACATAACAACAGCGGTCCCATGGTCTAGTGGTTAGGACATTGGACTCTGAATCCAGTAACCCGAGTTCAAATCTCGGTGGGACCTATTTTTATACGTTCTTTATTTCCCCTTTTAGCCAACCATTCGTCACAATAATAAAAAACATAAATATAA